AAAAATGGTTAAAAATCAAGTAGATATATAAACATATGAAAATCTTAAAAATAGACGGTATAGATTATATGTTGTAAAATACACTATTTTTAAGACTTAAAATCTTTTTATTTTTTATAGTCATTAATCTCGATGTCGAGATGATCAATCAAAGGGTTTTTCAACATTAAAACTACCTTTTCCAATGGGTTTTGAAGGGCATCAGTAATTCTATATCATAAGGTAACATCGTTATATAAACTTTTGTCTTCATTAAAAGGATCATTTCCACACCTGATCTTTTCATTAAATGATGTTCCCCAAGGACATGTTTGGGTACATGAATTTTAAGGTATGGATTCCTAATATCTTGGATTTTGACAAAAGTCCACCATTTAGATTGCTTAATGACTAGGATTTTTAAAAACAGGAAAATCAAAATTATGGGAATAAGACCTACTTTCCATTGTTTCATTTACACACAAAAACTTGTTTTTTTGCATTTTCAAGGCTAATGAATTTCACTCATTAGCTCCCTCGACTCGAAACATAGGGAGCATTTGGTAGGTATGACAATTTTAAATAGAGAAAGTACTTAATATTTTAAAGAGTAATGATCCTATTGGACCCTCCCCTACCCATGTGTGTAGGACTCTAAAGGATCACCATTAAATTTGCTACGGATTTCTAAAAAAGTTATTACATAGGTGTGAGATTTGACTTTTCTATAGATCCGTACCAAATTTAATAGTGATCATTTGAGGTCCTACACACATTGGGTGGAAGAGGGTCATATAGAGATCGGTTTTTATTTTTTTAAAGAGAGAAATTATCTCAAAATTTTTAGAGAGAGAAACTATCTCAATTTTTCACTTTTAGAGAGCGAAAGTATGTTAAGCTTTTAGAGAGAGAAAACATGTCAAAATTTTAGAGAGAGAAACTATCTCAAATTTAAACTTTTAAAGTGAGAAAGTATGCTAAAATTTTAGGGAAATAAAATATGTTAAAATTTATAGAGAGAAAGTGCCAAATTTTATTAGAGAGATGAACTATCTCAAAATTTTAGAGAGAGAACTATCTCAAATTTTAACTTTTAGAGAGAGAAAGTATGTTAAAATTTTAGAGAGAGAAAGTACCCATTTTTTTACGAGAGATAAACTATCTCAAAATTTTAAAAAGAAAAACTATCTCAAAATTTTAGAGAGTATCTCAAAATTTAAGTTTTAGAGAGAAACTATCATATTTTAGAGAGGGAAATTACATGCAAATTTTTAGAGAGAGAAATTATCTTAATTTTTTAGTGAATGAAACTTTTCAAAAACTTTTAGAAAGAGAAACATTAACATATTTTAAGTTTTAGAGAGAAAAATTATATCAAATTTTAAGTTTTAGAGAGAAAGTATTATAAATTGTAGAAAGAGAAATTGTCAAAAAAAATTAGAGATATAAATATCTCGTTTTTTAGATAGAGAAACTATTTCAAATTTTGAGCTTTAGAGAGAAACTATATCGAATTTGAATTTTAGAGAGAGAAAATATATTAAAATTTTGAAGATAAAAATTATATCAAATTTTAGAGAGAAAAACTACCTAAAAAATTTTAGAGATAGAAACTATCTCAAAATTTTTGGAGAAAGAAACTATCGCAAAATTTATGTTTTAGAGAGAGAAAGTATTTTAAAATTTTGGAGAGATAAACTATATCCAATTTTAGATAGAGAAAGTACATAAAATAAAAAATTTAGATAGAAACTATCTCAAAATTTAAGCATTAGAGAGAGAAAGTATCTCAAATTTTAAACTTTAGAGAGAGAAAGAATATTAAATTTTAGAGACACTATATCAAATTTTAAAGCCCATTATTTCAAAATTTTAGAGAGATAAACTATCTCAAACTTGAAATTTTAGAGAGAGAAAACATCTTAAAATTTAAGAGAGTAACTATATCAAATTTTAGAGAGAAAAAATACATAAAACATTTTAGAAAAAAAAGACGATCGCTAATTTTTTTAGAGAAAAATTGTTTTAAATTTTAGCTTTTAGAAAGAGAAAGTATCTTAAAATTTGAGAGAACAACAATATCATATTTTAGAGAGTGAAACTACTTAAAATTGTTTAGAGAAAGAAACTATCACAAAATTATTGAAGAGGGGAACTATCTCAAGTTTTAAGTTTTAGAGAGAGAATCTTAAAATTTTAGAAAGAGAAACTATATTAATTTTTAAAGAGAGTAAAAATTTTATTGAGAGAAATTATCTCAAAATTTTTAGATATACAATTTCAAATTTTAAATTTTGGATAGAAATTATATTAAATTTTAGAAAGAGAAATTATCTCAAAATTTTTATAGATACACTATCCCAAATATTAAGTTTTAGAAAGAGAAAGCATATAAAAATTTTAGGGAGACATGGAAGTGATTGCAAGGAAACCATGAATTTTGTATAGTTTATCCAAATAGCAGATTTCAAGAATCCATGACAAAAATCGTTTGATATTGAAAATTCTTAGATTTCTTTAGGATTTCAAATATGTAAGATTCCTAATTTTCTCCTATCCAAACCGACCTAAAGTTAAAAAAGAACGTCATTTAAGCTCCATTAACAGTGAGTTATTTATTTTCACTTCAAAATAGGTTTATACTTCACGTTAAAATAAAGACATTTATAAGACAATTTACTTTTGGTACTAGTGAGTCATAATTATCATTAGTTGTTTGATGTCAAATCCAATAGCTTGGGGTGTCATAAAGTTTGAAAAATTTTATTTTCAACTTGAAATCTAACCAATGATATCTTAGAGCCACTTGATTTGAAATGTAACAATAACAAATAATTATAACTTCCTTAAACCAAAAGTATGTCATCTTAACCTATATACGTTTCCTAAAATAAAACCCTCATTTAATATTTAGGACAAAGATAATTTGTTTAATGGATTGTTTAAGGTTGCAACCTTAAACAATCAAATTAAGCCTCCAAATTTTATCATAAATGTATCTTTGGTGTCAAAAGGATGGCTTGAAAATCTTTTTTTATTTCTAGTTATAAAATTTTAAACTTAAAAAACGGTTTACTTCAAATAGATCTATAAACACATAAAAACCTTAAAAATGGATGGTTCAAATAATGTGTTACAAGATGCATTTTTTTTTGAACTCAAAATCCTTTTTTTCTTTTCATATTCATACATCTCAGTGCTGAGTGATCAATTAGAGGGTTTTTAGACATCAAAACAACCTTTTATGATCGATTTTTGAGATGTGCGTTTATCCTATTTTTTAAGATTGCAACTTTATATAAACTTTTATGGTTTCTACAAGGTTGCAAGTTTAGGACAAGCTTTCTATACATTCTCTACAACATAGAGGTTCTATCCTCCCCCTTATCCAGCCATCCATTCTGAATGGAGGGCTAAGTTTGCCCTAATCATAATGTCATGTCTCTACACTATTTTATTTTTAATTTTTTTTCTATAAACTATTTTGACACCAAATTTTGGATATCCATTCTTCTATTAAACTTGCACTAGCGAAAAATATATATAAAAAATATATTCAATAAAATAAAATGACCAAAATATCCCTGAATATTTCAAGGGATATTTTGGTCATTACATTTTATCAAATAATTATTTTTAATATTTTTTTTATAGGTGCACCTAAATGAGAAGATGACACATACCAATTTTCATATTCATACAATTTGTATAAAAAAAAACTAAAAATAAAATACTTTGAGACGTCGAATCTAAGATAAAACGGTGAGTGACTCTCTTGATCAAAATTAGATGGCTGGATGGTAGGGGGAAGATAGAACTTCTATATTGTAGGGGAAGCATATAAACCTTTCAGGCAACTTTAAACAATCCTATTAAGGCGCACCTCCCAATTTTATCATAATATGTAATTTTGTTATAAAAAATTCTTAAGATTATTTAAAACTCTATTTTCATATCTAATTAGAAAATTTGAAACACTACAAATGGTTAAAATAAAGTAGATCTATAAACATATGAAAATCTTGAAAATGGATGGCCTAGATAATGTGGTGCAAGATGCATTATTTATGGGACTCAAAAGACTTTGTTTTTTTACACATTCATACATCTTGATATCAATATGATCAATCAGAGCGTTAAAACAACCTTTTCAATAGATTTTTGAGGTGCATCTGTAATCCTACATTTTAAGGTTGCAACTTTATATAAACTTTTTCCTTAGTTAAATAGTGCGACTAAACATCGGAATATTCAATATTTCATATAGAGATAATTGGTTGCTTAACTGTTAAGAGCAAATAACGAAATATTCATGGATTTTGGAACATTTTCTTGGTTGCAATGCCAAAGAAAATGAAGTAACAGGGGAGAACTGATCAACAGTCTTGGTTTTCAACTTAGTTGAGGGCATAAATTTAGAACTTAATAACCCTTGTGTCTCAAATAAAACATGGATTTCAATGACCGTCATCCAATTTTTGGCTTTTAATTTGTACGATAGTTGCTTTTATCACAATTTTAATTCATATTTATTGTTGATTCCGACTTAAATTTTGAAATAAGTGATCACCAAACTCAAATTTCAGTCCATTATCCCCAATTCACTCTTCTTCTCTAGTAGCCCTAGAAGAACCAAATTTAAAAAAGGACCAAAGCATCCGCATTTCCCTTACCAGTTCCAAAAACAAGAGTTTGGTGCAGTGGAGGAATCTGTCAATCTGTCCAAAGAAAAAGTAGAAGACTGTGGCGGTTGCGCTAAGGATCCACGGGGAAGAAGGGCAAGAGATTCCGGTACGCGGGAATCGGATTCTGATGAGAGAGGGCCAGAAGTTGGTGAGAAGGGTGGCGAAGGCGAGGGCGAGGACGAGAAAATGTACTTCTCATGGTTGGGGCCTACACTGATAGGTAAAGGGGAAGGTGGGGTGGGAGGAGAGGAGGATGGAGATCCTGAGCCAGAGCTCATGATCCCCACATTTTAAAAAGAAGGGCAAAAGAAAAATGAAAAAGTGAGGTTTTGATAGCAAGAAAAAATGGGAAAAGAAAGCTAAAAAGAAAACAAGGAAGCCTTTTGCAGCTTTGAAATGGGACTATGAAGAATGGGTGGTTTGAGGTTTGAGGTTTGAAATACAGTTAGGGGTGACTTCCTTTTGGGCGCCACCTACTGGTCACTCCCAACGGTCAAACGAACTTTCAAACTTCTGATCCACCTTGAGTGGGGGGTTGGCATTCATTGTGGATTACTTTTGATCTCTAACTTCTTTGGGGATAATATCTCGTGGTTACTAATGAGTCATCTTCCATGACATCATCCATCCTTTATGGTTTGAGTTGGGGGAGATAACATGAATAGCATCCTTCCTTTAGGGGTTAGGTTGAAGTTTCCTTTGAGGAATAGCAACTCTATAAACCTGTTTGAGAACCATAACAGGACCTCAGGAATTAGAATTAGCCATGATGGGGCAAATCAAGGCATGTTGGTTGTGTTTTTGAAGTGCATTTGGTTATATGAATTTTTTGGTTTTTGACAATAACTAACAAGTGGAAATGTGCATAATGCTTGGCAAAATGAGAAATGGAAAACAAGTGTAAAAAGAGAGGGACGATATGTAGAATAAAGGAAAGGCAGGAGATGTAAAAAAATGGATGTGCGCATTCTTCACGGTCTGGGTTGTTAGTGAATTTTGAGGAGAGTAATGTTTGGCTGAATTGATTGTTTTCTATCGAACCAAGAAGTGAAACTGCTCTTCCGAAGAATCCACTTTGGAAATGCACTGCACTGCACTGCACTTTTTTAGACGGTGCGCTTTGCGACTGCATTTCTAGTGAAGCCGCAGTTTGGTTTTGTAGGAAGGGCTATGGCTTGACATATTTCACTTTTAGTATTCTTTAGAGAATGCTATCGATATTTGGTTATTGGGGAGGGTGTGGTCTTTGGTTGAAAAATAAGGCAACTTTGCTTCAACCTGACTCACCTCACAGTGTTTTTAGTATGAGTGTAAACAACATAACCTTTTTTCTTTTCTCCTTGAAACAGTGTGAATTGAATCTATGATTGGATCCGGACTTATTTAGACTTGTGACTTAGGTAACACTTCAACTTAAAAATTAGGAGGAGGCTGAGTCTTGGTATGAAACCATGACAAGGGGTAGGTAGTGCTAGTCAAAACTACATCAAAATTTGGGCTTCTTGGGGTCTTAAATTTGAGGAGATCAGGGTTCAAAAGTTATTTGAGATTGGCCGCTTGCGCTAACAATAATGGCTTCCCGACCACGGGTAAAATAAACCAAAAAGTGGGAGGGACCCCTAAACCCTAAAATTTTGAGATCTGATGTCTTTTATATCATAAGAAAACCCTAAAACAAAGAGAGGGTTCACTTCATATTTCCTAATGTAGTTTATCTCTGGTTGCTTCTGGGGATTCAGGTTTTCCCTCAAAGAAGACCGGATCCCTTACTTAGCCACGTAGTGGTACCCCGTACCCTTTCACTCCACTGCAGGAGTTGCAGGCTTACGCACACCTCAGGCTAGGAAGGAGCTGCAAGAATATTGCAGCAGTTACAGGCTTACCCACACCTCAGGCTAGGAAGGAGCTGCAAGAATGTGGCGAGACTCATGCACTTATATATGCAGAGAAATCATTGGGAGATAAGTTTAAGAGAATTTATTACTCCTGGTACATAGAAGATGGATGGGCTGACGAAGCTTAGAGGTAGCAGACCCTAGCTTCAGGTGGATGCTAAGAGGGAAGACACGCACACCAGCCTGAGAGGTTTACTCATTCGAGACTTAGACTGGAGGTTTTCACTCCCGCAACGCAAAAGATGATTCTAAGAGATTTGGATGGGTCTGCAGATTTCGGGCGTTCTCGTCAAAAACATGGGAAAGTCTCCAAGAGAGGACATTTTTGGAGTCCCCCTCCACCATAAACGCGGGGCTGGCTCCAGTTGGGGTCAAGGAGCGCTAGGGCCTCCACTTGTGAGAATCCGCTAGGCCTATGTGCTTGGAGAAGAGGGAGGTCTTTGAAGACTCCGCCTATTCCAGCAGAGTAGGGCGAGGCGAGGGTTGCCAAGTGAGCAACCATCAAAGTTAAGTTTGGTGATGCCTGGTTCAGGGCGAACACCAGAGGGATGCGAGGAGACCGAGAGAGGTGAGTAAAGATTATGTTCGGAAACTCGGTGTTTCCAAACTGACAAATCAATACCGATCCTTTCATAGCTGATTACCAAATACCATCTTTGATCAGCATGCTCAAATATGAGAGACTGAAACATATCTTTAAAAATAGGAAATGAAGAATGGTTTGAGGAGAAGTTTGAATACAACACAGCATAGGAAATAACAATACAGGCATCTGCTGTGCTGTTATTGGCTGCTGCTGGTATACGATAGCATTATTGGAGGGAGAGAAAGAGAGAGATTCTTTATGTACTGATCCCTTTCTGTCGGATGCAGATACCGTTACCGGAGAGTAGACATTCGAGCACTAGTCATCTTGATCTGTATACATAGTATGCTGTTTATCAAGGGCATTTAAACACCTCCATGGAATTGGCCCACAGATTGTGGCCATCAAGTCTCCCTTAGTGGGTACTTTGTATATCAAAATGTGGGTAGAGAGAGAGAGGGGGACTAGGGTATCTTTTCTTCCCCTTCCCCTATTTCTGTATTTTTAGAACTTACGACTGCATCATCTGTTTCCATGTATAGTAGCTGGGTTTTATTTTGTGATTCATTGGTTTTTTTGAATGGAATGAACCATCTTTATCTTTATGTATGATAATACTCTGTGGTCTCTTTGCTCAATGTTTCATGTAAGTTGCCTTTTTCGATTTTCTAAGGAATTCATCGGATTAGTTGGGAATTTCTCATTTGGGAGCCACTGCCATTTAAATGCACTTTGGGAGCATGACTTTTGTTATGGTTAAAAGGTTCATGCTCCTGCCAGAGCATTTGGAAGGTTCACTCTGTCGGCACCTGTATTGGAATCATCATAATCATCCAAGTCTTATCTTAATTATCTGCGGTTGGCACCTATATATTCAAACTTTGGGGATATGATCTCCTCGATCAAGTTATCAAGTTTCTGAATTCTAAATTTGAAATTGTAGTATGCGCCTAAAACACAAGTCCCAGTCCAAATTTTGGATGATTGGAACTAGTTTTTTAAAAGCTGTGTAATTCTAAACTTGTATAGTTGGGAGCACCCATTTGGGAGTGTAATGTAGATCCAAAAATTTCACTTAAAAAAAAAAAAATCTTCGCAAGTGAAGTCTTTTAAGTGTGATTTGAATTTGTTGTCAATATTTGGATTTTGTTAATCAACCTAGTAAAATTTCCTTCATAAAAAGGCAGGGCAAGTATAATTATGTTCAAATGCTATAAGAAATAATTATTTTAAAAATTTGAGAGAGGAAATAAATAGGGAAATTATTGCAAATATATCTTGATTTAAGGTTAATTGGAAAAAAAACCCCAAACTTTCGTTTATCGCGTCTATATTTTTTTTTTTTCATTTTTGATTTTTTTTGACCAAAATGACCTTCACGGTAGTAAATACATATCAATTTATACGGTATTTAAAATACCGTAGTAACTTCAAATAATATTACGGTTTACCGTAAAACTTTGGCCATACTGTAAAGCTAATTATGGTACTTTAAGTACCATAAAAACTAAAACCCATTATCCGGCATTTTAAGTACAGTAAAAACTATTCTATCTTATACGACACTTAAAATGTCGTAAATTATTTTCTCATCCTGTTTATATTTATCTCTTTCATCTCTAATTATCTTCTCTTTCTCTCCAATTCTTTTTAATATTTATCTCTTTTTTCTCTCTCTAATTATTTTTTTATCTCTTCTTTCTCTCTCTATAGTTTCATCATCGTTTCCTTAGATCATGTCCTCTGTTTTACATAGCCGAAGTTAGTGGTTGATTACTCTCTCTAAGGAAATGATGATGAGATTGTGTAGAGAGATAGGAGATAAAAAAGAATTGGTGAGAGAAAGAAGAGATAAATATTAAAAAGAACTAAAAAGAAAGAATAGATAAACATAAAAAGAATTCGAGATGAAAGAGAAACATAATGAGAAAAGGTTTACTACATTTTAAGTGCCGTATAACATGGTTAGTATTTATAGTACTTAAAATGCCGTATAAGGGTTAGTGTGAGTTTACGGTACTTAAAGTACCGTATAAAATGCCCTCAGTATTAGGGTACTAGAAGTACCGTATAAAGTTCCTTAAGCATTATGGTACTTAAAGTACCGTATAACATGCACTAACTATTACGGTAATGTGACTACTATCAAGGTCATTTTGGTAAAAAAAAAATCGAAAATGAAGAAAAAAGATGCAGACGAGATAAACAAAAGTTTGGGGTTTTTTTTTTTTTCTAATTAAACTTAAATTTAGGTATATTTGCGATAATTTTCCAAATAAATATTAATTTCAATAGCCAAATGATTACATGCTCATGTTACAACAAACCTTGACTTGGACCCAAATTCATCAGACCCTGACTGGAATCGAAAAGTTTGGGACTTAGACTCGAAGCAGACCAGATCTGACCAAAAAATTAAAATATCTATGTACTTAAAATATATTTTATATATTGGGACAATAAAATATAATCCGGATCCGGACTTGAATAAGATTTGGACGTGGACCCGACTTGCTGGGTCCAATTTTTGAACCCACATTTGGATCCAAATAGTGTCTCGGGTCGGGTCTAGGTCCATTGCCACTATTTTCTTTTTTTGGGTGAATCAATGGGGAGAGGGTCCCTACCTTGATAGGAATTCAGCCTAGGCCGTAAGAGTGTTAAAGTCAATGGGGATTTGGGCCCTTACCCTTTGGTGGGGCTCATCAATACTACCACCAAAGCTCCATGCCATTTTCAAAGTGGTGAGAATGGAGTTAGAAAGATGTCATCATGGGGCTCAGCAATACTATCGTCAAAACCCCATGCTATTCATAAAGTGGTAAATCAATAGGGATTTGAGCCCCTACACTTTGGTCAGAATAGAATCAAAGACTTCATGATAGGGCTTAGCAATACTATTGCCAAAGCCCCATGGCACTCCCTTGCCACCCCTACCGGGGAGTAAGTGTATAACATGTAAGAATATATAATATATGCTCATTACAATATCATTAACCTTTATAAAATTATTAATTAAAAAAAATCGATATGTAATGCATATTGTAAGCCCTTGATTCCAGGTTATAACGTAAAATATCGAATCTCTCTACCCCTCTCTAAGGACCTCCATGCGCACTCTCTCTCCTCCTGTTAATGCATAATCTTTCCTCAATAAGGATCTCTCAGTAGGTTATGCTAATTCAGTACAAAAGTAAAAATGCAATTGGCCATGTAATGCAATAAAAATCCAATGTTTGAGTGACTTTGAAACAACAATTACCGCTGCATCACAAATGTATGGGACGATGCCCAATCGAACATCAATTGCCCATCCCATCATATTTGGGGCAATCTTCATTCTACTTTCTCATTGTGAGAGGAAATTTCAAAACACAAGCCGCAGCAGCATCTAGTCAAAATCCACTCCAAGCTGCAAAGCCAATCAATTCTCACAATAAGCACTCAAAACACATAACTGAGAGAGAGAGAGAGAGCATGGAATGGCCTCTGGTTCTAAGGTCATCAAGGTGATAGGGTGCCATAATATGACGTTTAGAGCTATATCTCGTCAAAGTTTAACATTCTTTAGAAAAAAAAAAAAAAAGAGTAGAGAGGAAAGAAAGAAAGAAAAAAAAAGAAAAAAAAGAGAGACAGATATATCTTTTTGCGAATCGGTGTCTAAGGGCCTGCCAGGATAGACTACTAAACATGAATTGTAATATTTTGTTTTGCTTGTGCAAAAACGGTACCACTAAACAAGAATAGTGCCATTTTTCTCGTTTGTGTGGAAGAATACTACTGCGACTCATTTGTATGAAGTGAGAATGAGGTTGGGGCATTGGTGGTAGGGGAGTTGATACATTAACATAACATCCCACCCTCCATTCCCACCATTAACATAGCACCAAGAAATCCCACCCTCCATTCCCACCATTAACATAACACCAAGAAAACTGGACTCTCATTTGTATAAACCCCCTTTTGAACACGTGTACAAAATGCCCCAAAATAAACACTATATGATAATAACAAGAGGAAGAAAGCTATCTTTCTCCCTAATTCCATCCAAACTCCCCCTAAAAGATAATAACAAGAGGAAGAAAACCATTTTTCTCCCTAATTCCATCCAAACTCCCCCTCAAATTTGTGAAATTAAAACTGAAATCTCTTTTAAATAGAATAACACTTCCTTTTCATGCACATGAAGTACATTTGATTGCTTAAATTTTTTGGGTTCAGATCCAGGGTTAAATAAAAAATTTTAAAAACAAAAATGAATTATCAAACAAACAAGGAAGATGATCCTATGAACCGACCGACTTTTCTACAAATTGTTGGCCCGATGGTCAAGATTGAAAAAATGAGATGATCTCGACAACTGAGAATAATTGACATTTGTTACGCATATTTTTTTATTTGGAGTGCGTAGATGAGAGCTATATGTGTAAACAAAATTTAAGATCTATCGAACTCTACTATTTTTAGAAAAAAAAAGTATCAATATATAAATTTGGCCATTTGCTCATTTTTTTTCTCCATCATGGGCTGCTCGTCCTATACTGTGCCGAAAGGCGCTTGATTCTTACGATCTTTTCCCAATAAAAGGATCATCGTTAACATTAATTAAAAGGATCTTACTCACACTTGCTCATTTCCACACTTGATCTTTTCATTAAATGAAGTTTCCCTAAATTTAAAGGGAAGATCATTTAAGTTTCATTAAAATAGAAGTCAATTATTTATTTTCACTTCAAAATAGGTTTATACTTCACCTTAAAATAAAGGGATTGTATATTACAAGACTATTTACTTTCGGTACTAGTAGGTTATAACCACCATTAGCTGTCTAATGTCAAATTCAATAGATTGAAGTATCATAAAATTTGAAAAAAAAAAAAATTCAACTTGGAGTCTAGCCAATGATACACCCTGAGCCAACTGATTTGAAATGTAACAATCAAAAGTAATTATAACTCTCTTAAACCAAAAGTAAGTCGTCTTGACCTATAGTTTTCCTAAAATAAAGCCCTCATTTAATATTTAGGAAGGTTACAGCCTTAAACAATCAAATTAAGCCTCCAAATTTTATAATAAATATCTGTGGTCTCAAAAAAATCTTAAGATGGCTTGAGAAGCTATTTTTATTTCTAGTTATAAAATTTTAAACTCCAAAAATCGTTTAAATCAAGTAGATCTATAAACACACGAAAACCTTAAAAATGGACGGTCCAAATAATGAGTTACAAAATACATTATTTTTAGAACTCAAAATCTTTTTTTTCTTTTCATATTCATACATCTCGGTGTTGAATGATCAACTAGAGGGTTTTTTCGATATCAAAACAACCTTTTATGATGGATTTTTGAGATGCACGTTTATCCTACATTTTAAGATTGCAACCTTATATAAACTTTTATGGTAAACAATCCAATTAAGGCGCACATCCAAATTTTATCATAGCATGTAATTTTATTGTAAAAAATTCTTAGGATTATCTTAAAATCTATGCTCATATCTAATTAGAAAATTTGAAACTCTGGAAATGGTTAAAATCAAGTAGATCGATAAACATATGAAAATATTGAAAATGGACGGTCTAGATAATGTGTTACAATATGCACTCTTTTTTGGACTCATAGACTTTTTTTTTTACATATTCATACATCGCGATGTCAAGATGATCAATCAGACAGTTTTTCAACGTTAAAACAACCTTTTCGATAGATTTTTGAAGTGCATCTGTAATTCTACATTTTAAGGTTGAAAACCTATATAAACTTTTTCCTCAGTTAAATAGTCAAACTAAACATCGGAATATGCAATATTTTATGTAGAAATAATTGGTTGATTAACTGTTAAGATCAAATAACGAAATATTCATAGATTTTGGAACATTTTCTTGGTTGCAATGCCAAAGGAAATGAAGTAACAAGGGAGAACTGATCAATTGTGTTGGTTTGGAACTTAGTTGAGGGCATAAATTTAGAACCTAGTAGGTGAGAAAAACTGTCTTAAATAAAACGTGGATTCCAATGGCTGTTAATTCATTTTTTTGGCTTTTAATCCGTAAGATAGTTGCTTTTATCACAATTTTAATTCATACTTATTGTTGATTCTGACTTAAAATTTGAAATAAGTGATCAACAAACTCAAATTTCAGTCCATTATCCCCAATTCACTCTTCTTCTCTAGTATCCCTGGAAGAATCAAATTTTGAAAGTGACCAAAGTACCGGCATTTCCCTTACCAGTTCCAAAAACAAGAGTTTGGTGCAGTTGAGAAATCTGTCAATCTGTCCAAAGAAAAAGTAGACGAACGTGGCGGCGGCGGCGCTAAAGATCCGCGGGGAAGAAGGACACGATATTCCGGTACACGGGAATCGGATTCTGATGAGAGGGGACCAGAAGTTGGTGAGAAGGGTGGCGAAGGCGAGGACCAGGGCGAGAGTGAGAAAATGTACTTCTCATGGTTGGGGCCTACACTGATAGGTAAAGGGGAAGGTGGGGTGGGAGGAGAGGAGGATGGAGATCCTGAGCCAGAATTCATGATCCCCACATTTTAAAAAGAATGGCAAAAGAAAAATGAAAAAGTGAGGTTTTGATAGCAAGAAAAAATGGGAAAATAAGGCAAAAAAGAAAACATTTTGCAGCTTTTAAATGGGACCATGAAGAAGGGATGGTTTGAGCTTTGAAATACAATAGAGGATGACTTCCTTTTGGGCGCCACCTAATGGTCACCCCCCAACCGTCAAACGAAAAGTTTAAAGCCCATAATTTAGAGCTTAAAAAATGATTCTTTAGGGCTTCAAAAATTTAGAGCTTCAAAATTTTAATTATAAAATTAAAGCTTCAAAAATAGTAAAGATCCAGCGGATCTATGAATACTTTAAAATTTTGAATATTGACGGTTTGGAAAATGAATCATAAGATGCACCATTTCCAAGACTGTAAATCTATTTTTTCTCATGTCCATACATCTTGAGATTGAGATGATCGATTTGAAGATTTTTGGGCATCAAACCAACATTTTCTAGTGATTTTTCGAGATGCGCCTTAAAATGATTGTTTAGGGGCTCACCCTTATATAAATTTTTTTCTAAAAATTTTAAGAAAAATATATAATGCAATCATTTATCTTTGGTACAAGATGGTCACAATTGAGCTTGACCACTAGATGTAATATTGGATGATTGAAGATGTTTTATTGACCAAGCTTAAAGTCCAAAAGAAAATTTCTCAAACTTTATGACACATCCAAGCTGTCAGATTTCGCATCATATAGTTATAAGTAATTGTGATATCGACGTATAAAAAATAAATGGTCTCATTGTATATAATCCCTAAATTTTAGCCTCACTTTTTATTGTCAACATAAACATAAATTATAGGCTCATAAAGTATCACATATTTTTCTTGGGTTTTGTGATTTCAATTTTCTAGCGAAAGCACTTTGATTCAATTTTCTCGCCGCTTTACAGCCAATTTCAGGTGAACATACCTCAGATTACTATGAATTTTCTCATATCTTAGGGCTATACTGTCTGAAATTCCTCTCAAATGGCCCCCTCTCTCTCTCTCTTCAGATTCCTCTCTTTCCCCACTCTCTTTGAGTTTTTCCTGAAAGTCTTGTACAAATTCTTCAACCTCTCTATTGAAGTTCCTGGGTCTTGTGCAAGTGCCTCTCTCTCTTGTACAAGTGCCTTTTAAAAGGGCACCTTTCTTTTCTTTCTCTCTCTCTCTCTCTCTCTAGGATGAAGTTTGGGAAGAGCTTGAGCAAACCAGAATGAAGAGACAAGTTCCTCTCTTATAAGGAATTGAGTAAGCAGCTCAAATTCATCGAGCCAAAGGCTAACCATGAGAAAAAGGGGGTCACTGCCTCTATGACCAAGGAAGATGGTAAAAAGAGAGAGGAGAGCCTTAACAAGTTTTTTCAAAAATTGTTTAGCGTTTGTTTTGAGTTAAAAAACCTTTTAAAATACACAAGTTTAAGTTAGAAGGGGTTGTGATTGGTGTATATATAAAAAAGATGATTATTTTTTATTTAAAAAAATTATTTTAATAGATAACTTAGCTGTTAAATAAGAATAAATTTAAATTTTTTACAAAACTACAATGGTATTTTGGAAGTTAGTGTCTTGAAATTTTATTTTTAGAGTGCATTTGTTTTTTAGTAAAAATTTCAATTTTATTTTTTATAGAAATGACAAAAGTACCCCTTGTCTTGTAGTAATATTTACGAAATTTCTTTTACTTAATGATGAAGATATCACAAAAAGTAATTTTTTTAAAGAAATATATACTACAAAATTAATAAATCCACCATTCACAACTCTATTTGAAGGGTTTTGAAGTTTAGATTCTCCCATCATAAAATTGGAGCAAATGGGTTTAAGGGGTTAGAAGATAGTTTTTTGAAAAATTAATACCCCCATATACTTTTCAAATTTATAGATCTATTAGGAAATGGTATACCAAATTAAGACGAATGCCAAAATTTTCTAATTGTTTTTTAAAAAAATTAATATAGCTGCATACTTTTCAAATTTGTGGGTCTACTAATAGATGATACACCAAATTAGGGTGTATGGATAAATTTTCCCTTGTATTTACTAATTCTAGTGAGAAGCTGAGTCATTTTGTTAAGAGGTATATATAGGGCACAATTTTTGATATAGTGTTCCATTATTTTCACAAAAAATTGAACAATCATTTGATAGATATTATCCATGAGTCACTCTTTAGAATTTAATTTTTCCATCAACTTGATTTTTAACTTATGTGTTATAAATATTAAAAAATTCAAAATATCCAACTTTATATCTTAGCAGTTAAACATTGGCATTGCAAACGTAACAAAATTATTAATTTCATGTATATCACTGTACACAAGCCTTAATAACTAAGAAATCCTTTCTGGTTATTTTGGCATTTACGCGTGCTTTACATTTCTCTTAGAAAATTCACCATATTGAGATATCAACCTTGACTTAATCATAGATTTAATTGAAGCATAATATAAATGGAAAAGTTTTAAACGATCAAGTTGGAGCCTACCTTAAAAAATTCAGTAGAAGAGGTTGTTTTGATGCCTAAATATCATCAAGTTGATCATTTCGATATCAAGATGCACGGACATGAGCAAAAAATGGATTTCAAGTTTTGGAAATAGTGCATCTTGTAATACATTCTTGGACCGACAATTTTTAAGATTTTCAAGTTTTTATAGATGTACTCGATCTACACTATTTTTTAAGCTTTAAATTTTACAGTTAAAGATGAAAATCTAATTTAAGGCTATCACAAAGATTTTTGGAATTAAAACCACATTTCTCGATACCATTTAAAAGTAGGCTCTAATTTGATTGTTTTGAGCGTCGGTTCTATACAAACCGTACCATAATATAAATTTATAAATCTAGCATGCCTCATAATTACAAACTCTCGCAATAAAAGCATAATAATTAGCATCCTTGATCAAATCGAGTTTGAAAACTTGTACTTTTCATTTTCTTAATAAAATCTTATTAATGTTAAAAAACAAAAAAAAATTGAGCACCCCAATGCAAGAGTATCATTTACAAACAAATACAACATTCTTGGTCAACATGATTTTATTTGATCCAATTAGCACTAACGCAATAGTGAATAGGCTGAGAGTGCCTCATGCTCTTAAGTATACATGTAAATTTATGCTTCACATATTCCAGCCTTCTCTTTCATTTTTTCCATGATTACAGTGATAAAAATTTCTTTATACATTATTTTCTCTCATTCCAATCTATCACGTGTGGGACTAAGACTTTTTGGCTCTAAAATAAGAAAAAACCGACCTTTTTCAGAACCGTAGCCTATGAAATATTATTATTTTAAAAAATCATCATCATCTTCAAAGCTTTTTTTTCAACTATTATTTTAAAAATATTATACTTTTATATATAAATAGTGATAGATCCCATTTGCTTTTTTTAAAAGAAAAAAGTGTATATAAGGTTGGAATCTTAAAATGTAAAATTATCGATGCCCTTCAAAAATCCATTGCAAAAAGTTGTTTTAATATTGAAAAGCCTTATAATTGATGATCTCGACATCGAGATATATGAATATGAAAAAAATGATTTTGCGTCTCATAAATAGTGAATCTTGCAACATAATATCTAGAAATAGTCCATTTTCAAGATTTTCATATGTTTATAGTTTTACTTGATTTTAACCAAATTTGGAATTTAAAATTTTATAGTTAGATACGAAAATAGATTCTAAAATAATCCTACTAATTTTTTACACCAAAAAGACATATTATGATAAAATTTGCGGGTGAACTTTAATTGGATTATTTAAAGTTGCAACCTTATAAAAATCACACCTTTTAAAAAATATCACGTTGAAAATGCTATATACATTGGAAGTGTTATTAGCATTGATGTATGGTGATGGACATAGAGCGAAACCTAATACTCAGGTCACGTAGCGTTCTCATGTGTGCTATTTTCCTTCCATCATCATCCATCAAATTATTAGATGGTGATAATTACTCTGGGAGCGTTGCAACCCAACGATTGCATACTAATTTGTGATAAAATATAAGGGTATATAGGTCAAACTTCTTGATTCTGAATGGAAGGCTAAGATTGCCTCAATCACAATGTCACGTTTCTGTACTATTTTTTAATTTGTTTTCTACAAACCATTTTGATATCAAATTTTGAACGTCAAATTCTCTATTAAACTCGCACTATCGAAAAATATAAAAAAAAAATATTTTCAATAAAATAAAATGACCAAAATGCTCCTGTAAAGACTCAAGGGGTATTTTGGTTATTATATTTTATCGAAAATTTATTTTTAATATTTTTTATAGGTGCGCCCCAATGAGAAGATGTCACATACCAAATTTCATATTCATACAATTTGTATAAAAAAAACTAAAAATAAAATGCTTTGAGACGTCGGATCTAAGACCAAACCGTGAGTGACTCTCTTGATCAAAATTGAACGGTTAGATGGTAGGGGAAGCATAGATCTTCTATGCCGTAGGGGAAGTATAGAAACATTTCCCCACAAAACTTTTATTCTATTAGGGTGTCTATATTGTTCCCGCTCAAGTGCACTATACAATTTCTCCCTCATGAAAAATACCCATTTTAGAGATATGTTTTCGCCATAAAATTTTGGGATCTATTTTAGAATGTATCATCATCATCATCAAAACTTTTTTTCAACTAATTGGGGTCGACTATATGAATCCTAGTCTGTCATTTTGCACTTTAATGGCCATACTCTTATTGAAGCTATAGATCCCCCTATATTTTTTCACTACTTCCAACTACGTATTTTTAAGCCTAGGCTTTTTTTAGCCTTCCATTTTAGAATGTATAGTTAGAAATATAAATTCAAATGTGTTAAACATTTAGATCTGACAATCCAAAAATTGGATCCTCTGCTCAGTTTTATTTTTCAAGCACAAACATGGCGTTTTTCTATTTTCTAAGTCGGCAATTAAGCTGAGAAAGTTACGTCTCTTCCTAAATTTGGGATCCTAAAAATACTCCTAGATGGTCCCGGGGATCATACTTGAGAGAGCATATAATCTCTTGACTTATTAAAATCCTACTCAAATTTTGGTGAAGTTCAGGTAAAATTTGGCTGCCCAGAGTTTTTAAAATTTTTTGTTGTAGATCTATTCTAAGGCTACAAAAAAAAAAAAAAAA